CCAGCCCCGAGCATCCCAAACCTGCTCCTGCAAACCCGGGCGCCAAAGTCCAAGGACAAGCACGTTGGATCGCACGCAGCCAGGCTCGGGGAGAGCCACAAAGAGGCGAATTAATTGCTATAACTTCATTAACATAGGTCACCCCGTTAAAATGATCGAGGCGCTGCAGCTTTTTCCCCCCATTGTCACAAAGTGAGGAAAGTCTGTGAGCGCTCCCTCCCTCCGACCTCCGCCGCCTCCATCCTCCTGCCTTTTTGCCAGAGCTTCATTTTCGGGGCGCTGGGACCCGGCAGAAGTTGGGCGAGGACGGGAGGTGCGAGGGGAACATCCCAACAATGCTCCCGATGCTCCGGTGTGCCCGGCACCGGGAACCCCCTGGGCCCGTCACCGCTCCCCAATTATTTCGATTAAAAACATGTGCACGTCCCCATCTGCAAATTCAACGCGACGCCGTTGAGTCCCATTCCACATCCTCGTCCCTGTGTATCCTCACAAATAAAATTTAAAACGCATTTAAGTCATCCTCCAGGTGACTGAATTTCCCCTTTTCCAGGGGTGACTCGGCCCTGGCAGGTGGAATTGGGGGGCGGCTGGGGGGGATTCTCTGTTCTTGGGGGGATTCTCCCCTTGGATCCCGCGGGTTTCCTCTCTCCCATCTCCTGCCGCTCAGCCCAGGGCTCCTGCCAGGCTCCGTGTCCCCCCTTCGCAAATATTTACTTCTATACATTAATATCTTTTGTTGGTGGTGTTGTTGTTATTATTGCAGCCGCCCCCCAGCCTTTTGCTGACCCCCCCCTTCCTCTCCCTCCCCGGGCAATTCGCTAATTCCATCTCTGCTGTCCATCACATTAATTTCTACAATGACTTCATCCGCTCCACTCCATAATGTATATTTTTAAACCGAGCAGGTTCTTTTAATGTATATTCTGGTGTCATTTCGGTGGCTGTTATTTCTCTCTGGATTGTCCCCCCGGTACAGCAGCGGCCTGTTTTTTCCTCCCCCTGTGTGTGTTTTTATTATTTTCCCCCTGGCTTAGATGTGTCAATCACTCTCTCCCTGCCATTGGTTGGAGAGTTTGCGTCAAAAAGTTGCCAGAGAGGCGCTTTCTCAGCAAAGCTCCCCGAGAGAGGTAGAGACCTTCAGCTCCAACGCACCCTGCCACTATTATTAAAAATAAAATCGCTTTGACCAGCTCCAGCACCGGCCAGCTCTGTATGTACCGAGCCCAGACCCCGAGCATCCCCGCATCCCTCTCCCGCACCGTCCCCTCCCCTTTTTCCCCATTTATTCTCCTTTTTCAAACATTTTTTTTTCCTCCACCCCCCCTCGGCCCCCCCCTTTCCCCCCGATGTCGTGGGCATGTGCATGCGGCGAGCTCTCTAACCTCCCGCTTTGTGCTTTCTCTCCCAGCTCAGCCCCAGCTCGGAATTTGGCGAGGATCCGGAGCAGGTTTCCCCCTTCGCCCCCCAGCCCTGCCCGCGGCTCCGGCGAGGCTCGCAGGTAAGTCCGACCCGCTGGCTCCATCCTTGCTCGGGGGCATCGCCGGGCGGCCAGGAATGCACGGACAAGGAAATTAAATTTATAAATTTTTTTTTTCTTTAAATTACGATTATTTTTAAATGGCCTGCGTGTGCGGCGGGGGTCTCTGTGGAAGGAGCTGCCCGGGAGAAGCCGGGCCGGGCCGGGCGGAGGCGGCCCCGGCTCGGGCACAGCGGGCTCGGAGCTGGGCAGGGAGCGGGAGCTGCGGGATGAGAGGGACAAGGGCAGCACCGAGAAGCGGGGGCCGCTCCCCATCGCCCCCCATCGCCCCCCATCGCCCCCCGAGCCCCCCGAGCCTCATCCCCCGCTCCTCTCTCCGCGGGCAGGCGCGGGGCTCCGCCGCCTTCTCCTCGGCTACATCATTTTTCTCCGGCCTGTTCCTTTGGCCTGGAGTTATTTCCTGACCTCCAGCTGGACTTCTAAAATTAGGGGAAAAAAAGAAAAACAACCAAAACCCCAAAAAACAAACGGGGAGGAATTTCTTCTCCCTTCTTCCGACTCCTACCTGAGAACCCTTTCATCCTCTGCCTCTTCTTCCTCGCGATGCGGAGACTCAGCAAAGTAATTTTGCAAAGGTGTTTCTGAGCACTCGCGGCCCGGGAAAGCCGGGCTGGAGAGCGCAGGGAGGGAAATCTTCAAGGCGTTCAGGGCCGGAGCTTCACGGTTTGGTGCGGGCGAAAAGGATGGCAGGGATGGCGTGCAGGAGAGGGGCAGGAGCTGGTATCCACCTCCCTCATTTTATTTTATTTTAATTATTTTTGTGCCTTGGGAAAGCGCTTCCTAAAGGCACCGACCGCGAGTAACGCGCCCCGGCCTCTCCTCTGCATTCGCACCGCGCTGACAAAGAGAAACTCGGGAAAAGTCCTTGTGCACCGGCACAAGTTTCTTTAGAACTAAAACCCTCCTCGGCTGCTGAGCTTTATTTCGATTTCGGCTGCTGAGAGAAGTTGAGGCTTATTATTTATTTATTTTGAAAAGGTGCAACTCTAGTTAAAAAAAAAAAAAAATATATATATAGAAAGAAGTGGGGAGGGAAAAGCACTTTAAAAATGCTATTTTTTAAAAAAAAGGGCGGGCGCTGGTGGCCGGCCGGGTGAGCCCGCCGAGCCCGGTTACGCCGCTCCCGGTCCCGGGGTGGAGCCGCGGCCGCGGAGCAGCGCGGAGGTTCGGAGGTGAAACACTGGGGACCGCCCGGCAGAGCCGGTGATGGGTCCATCCCCACCTCCTTTGCACCGGGGGGAAATTCGCATGCTGGGAAATATCACCCCAAACAGCACCTCCAGCGCGAAAAAAAAAAAAAAAAATTTTAAAAATTAAACAAATTAGAATTTTTTAAAATGTCATAAATTCGTCGGAGCGCGGCGGCGAGGGCAGGGAAGGCGGCTGTCGTTTGCAAAACAAAAGGAAACAAATTCCCTTTTCTACCTTGGCACCTTTCCCCCTGCCCCCCGCGGCACGGCCGGGGCAGGGGCGCAGGCTGCGCGCCCGGGCGCGGATCGCTGCCCCGCATTAATCACCGGGGCGAGCCGCGGAGCCGCGGCCGGTGCCCCGTAATTAGGGAGCGTGTGCCGCGCGGATTATCTCGTTAGTTTATCAAGAAAACATTTATTATAATTAATTCTCGGACGGGGTAATTATTATTGAGCGAGGGCAGAGCAACTGGTAGCCGGGCTGCGTGCGCGGAGAGGGGCGGGGGGGCGGCGGCGGAGGGGGAAGGTGACAGATTGCCGAGCCCGGCCGTTGCTCCGCGGGCCGCGGGCGGGCGGCCCCGGGATGCGCGGCCGCGGCCGAGGGGCTCCGCGGGCGGCCGCGCCGCGCTGGCGCCTCGCTGGGATGCCGCCGAATTTAACCCAACGGAGCTTTGGGGCTGGTTTTGTTTTGGAGGAGGAGGAGGTGTTTGCGGGTTTTTTTTTTTGTTGTTGTTGTTGTGTTTTTATTTTTTTTTAATCCTATTTTTCTTTCTTTTTTTTTAATTTTCTGCGCTCGTTTTGAAGCGGGCGGCAAGCCCCGCTTGGCTCTCCCGCGCGTTTTGCGGGGCTCCCCCCTCGGTAGGACCGTCCCCGTTCGGCCTCCCCCGGGGGGCGATGCGAAATTGGGGAGCCGACCCTGCGCTCCCTTCGCCGCGCAGCGCGGTTGTGCGCGGTGAATTCCCTTTTCCCCGAAGGGAGAAGGGGAAGCTCCGCGCCGCTTCCCTTTCCCTTTTCCCGGGAGTCCCCCGGCAGCGCTCGGCCCGCCCGGGGCGCCGGCTGGGCTGGAACGCGGAGTTTTGGGGTGTTTCGGGAAGAAAGTTCCGCTGGAGTTCGTTTTCCCGACGGCCACTAGGAATGGAGGGAAGGGCGAGCGTTTGCTCAAAAAAGCTTTTTTTAAAAAATATTTTAGGCTGGAAAAACCAGCCTAAACCTTTTTAGGAGTCCCGGTTTGACTCATTGCCGTACTTTTAATTTTTTTATCTTTTTTTTTTTTGGCGGTGTTTGGGTCCTCCCTTTGGGTTCCCCGGTGCAGAGAGCGCGGTCCCGTCGGGGCAGCCCGAGCAGGGTCCGGCGGAGCCGGGGCTGTCCCGGGGCCGCTCAGCACCGAGGTGTTTGTTTAGCTCCAGCTCCGTCATCAAGAGTTTCTTGAAAGCCTAATAAATCTGTTACTTGCCTCCAAATCTAATTACCCGGAGTACTAATTAGGTGCAAATGGCCGGTGGAAATTACTGCAGACGTGGACTGATGATGGCGGGAGAGCAGAAAAGTTTGGCTCTTCCCGAGCGGGCATTTGAGCTCTGAAATGCAGCAACGTCGGGGGGAAGGGGGAAAAGGGGGAGAAGGGGGGAAGGTTTGAATGTTGCCCAAACCTGGGATAATTAAAGTGCTTGCAAGAGACTAGTGGAGAGATAGGTTTCTTGAATTGTTTCTTTGTTTCTCACCCTTGGGCTTTGTTATCTGCATTATTTATTTAGCCGAGGGGTTCTTTGTGTCTGCCAATGGCCCCAATCAAGTTTTGCTTGAGACAATTAGCCGGTGCCCGGCCGGGAATCCTATGCAAATGCCCCCGGCCGCCGCACAATGCGGGCAGTTGAAGGCATGGGGGGGTTTTGTTCGGGCAGTAATTACTGGCTGGGATGTGCCCCCCCTTCCCTTCCCTTCCCTTCCCTCCCCTCCTCGCCCTTTTTGGGGAGAGATGCGTTTATCTAGTCAGTCTCTCCCAGCTCCCGAATGCGGCTGGGGTCCGAGCGGGAGGATTGACGGGAGGGGGGAGAGGCAGAGGGGATAAAAGCAGGGGGGGGGGGGGCAGCGATCCGGCCTGACTCCCCCTTCATCCCCGCACTCCTCCCTCCTCTTCCTCCCGCGCAGGCACCTGGCGGCCCCCCCGCGCCCGACGGCTCCCGCAGGCAGCGCCCGGGGCAGGCAGGGCGCTCGGCCGGCTCCCCCTCGCCCGCGTTTCGGCCAACTCTCCTCCCCGCCACAACTTTAGCATGATGTCTTATCTTAAGCAACCACCTTACGCAGTCAATGGCCTGAGTCTCACAACCTCGGGCATGGATTTGTTGCACCCGTCCGTCGGTTATCCCGGTAAGCCACGTTTTTCTTCCCTCTTCCCTCCCCCTTTTTTTATTTTTTTATTTTTTTATTTTTTTGCTCCGCTGGGATTTTGGGAGGCACAACATGCCCAGGGATCACGCTGGCTTGGGTGGGTGAGGGCGTGGGGTTCCTCTGTCTCCCTTTTCCTCACCCCCAACATTTCATGGGTGGAAGGGGCTGCAAACAGGGCAGAGCCCCGGGATGGGGATGCGGCCAGGATGCTCCCAAGGATGCAGGGGAGATGCGGAGTCGGGATTGCCGAGCTATGGCGGCTGAGGGACCCCCGAGAGAGGGCAGGGAATGTGGGTACCCCCCCGGGGAAGGGGCTGGAGGGCACATCGGGGTCCAAGGGGCCGCTGACTGACGGCCAGGGCCTCTGGCTCCGTTCGCAGCCACGCCGCGGAAGCAGCGGCGGGAGCGCACCACCTTCACCCGGGCGCAGCTGGATGTGCTCGAGGCTCTTTTCGCCAAGACCCGCTACCCCGACATCTTCATGCGGGAGGAGGTGGCCCTGAAAATCAACCTGCCCGAGTCCAGAGTGCAGGTAGGACGCGGAGAGCCCTGCCTGCCCTGCCCCTCCACGCCCAATGGACCCGGGGCTGGCCTGTGCCCCACAGGGGATGGGTTATGGGCATGGATCCAGTCCTGAAGCCAAATCCAGCCCTGGTGGGGTGAAGGAGGCTCAGAGAGGGGTGGGGGTTTACTGAGGGGATGTGGTGGCATTTTGCACCCCCAGGGCTGGAGTGTGCCTCCCCCTTTCTCCCTCTGCACCGAGGGGTGATGTGCAGTTCCTGGATCCCAGCTCACATCCATCCCCAGCACCCCCAAATCCCAGCCTGTCCTGCGGACATCTGGGGGCCCTGCAGAAGCCACAAAGGATCCCCTCCTTCCCCAGGGATCAGCACATCCCTGGAGCTGGGCCAGACTGGGATCCCAGCTCACACCAGTACAGACTGGGGGCTTCCTGCCCCTCTGAGGGCAAGAGAGAGGCTGCCTTGGTGGAGAGATCTCCTCTGCTGGGGCTGGGCTGTGCCTGCTCTGCAGGGACCCCATCCAGGCAGCATTTTGGAGGTGCTGCTGGCAGGGCAGGATGTTTTTGCCTCTTCTGGGACCTAGAACACCCCAGCAGCAGGGGCAGGGCATCTCCAAAGCCATCCCTCCCACTCCCACTTGCCTTCTGACCAGGCTTCCCGAGGCTGTGTGGTGCCGCGTCCCCATGGAGCGTGGTGGCTGGGATCGGGATACCCCTGTGCCAAACCCCATCTTCCTCCCCCAAAAACCTCCCCAGAGCAGCCAGCCCCCTTGGGCCCTGCTGAGGAGCCAATTCTGACCCAGGGGGTGAGAGCAGAGAGCCCGTTTGGAGGGTAAATGAGACATCTTCACCCCTCTCCCCATCCCGAACCTCTGCTTCCCTAATTGTTCCCCCCTTTTCTGATGTTCTATTGTTTCTAATTAAGGGCTCGACTTCATTAGGCCTTACACAGTGATTCCTGGGGGTCCCCGGCTGGCAAACAGCAAAGAGTTTCCCCTTCTCCCCCAAAAAGTGACCTTATTAAGGAGTTTGATTTGTGATTTCCACTTGTTATTACTGCTAATGATCTCAGGGAGGGGGAGCCCCGGAGCTTTTCTGTGCAGCAGCCTGCAGCCCTCTGCTCTTGGGGGGGGACAGTTTTGGGTCTCCGTGCCTCCATCCCTTCTCCACCTCGGGTTTGCCCATCCCTAACCCAGGCTTTTTCTCTCTCCCTCCCTCGTGTCTGTGCCTCAAGGTGTGGTTTAAGAACCGCCGGGCCAAGTGCCGGCAGCAGCAGCAGCAGCAGCAGAACGGGGGCCAGAACAAGGTGCGGCCAGCCAAGAAGAAGAATTCTCCAGCCCGAGAAGTGAGCTCGGAGAGCGGGACCAGCGGGCAGTTCACTCCCCCCTCCAGCACCTCCGTCCCCACCATTTCCAGCAGCAGCGCCCCCGTGTCCATCTGGAGCCCGGCGTCCATCTCCCCGCTCTCAGACCCGCTGTCCACCTCTTCCTCCTGCATGCAGAGATCCTACCCCATGACCTACACCCAGGCTTCGGGCTACAGCCAAGGATACGCTGGATCGACCTCCTATTTCGGAGGGATGGACTGTGGATCTTACTTGACCCCTATGCACCACCAGCTGCCCGGGCCGGGGGCCACCCTGAGTCCCATGGGTGCCAACGCGGTCACCAGCCACCTCAACCAGTCTCCAGCCTCCCTCTCCACCCAGGGCTATGGAGCCTCCAGTTTGGGCTTTAACTCCACCACCGATTGCTTGGATTATAAAGACCAAACGGCCTCCTGGAAGTTAAACTTCAATGCTGACTGCTTGGATTATAAGGACCAGACGTCGTCATGGAAGTTCCAGGTTTTGTGAAGAACCTTTGTGGTACCCCGGAGAAACCGCGGCGAGAACGAACAGGCTGGGCTGAGCGCTCCAGTTTTAGTCAGGTCTTGGTTAAATTAAAGAGAAAAATAACTCCACGGACAAACAAATGAACAAAAAAAAAACAAACTGACGGCAACAAGAGGGGGACAGTGTTGGTGTGATCCCGTTCAGACTCATCTCCTGCTCAGACGCTCTGGAAAAGGAATAATAAAGAGGAAAAACGGAGGAGGAAGGCCTTAAACGGACAGATCATCTAGTGAGCAGAAACCAGACAGACCCATCTGTGTTCTTTCTAGTTTTAGCCAATTGTTGGGTTTCTTTGTTTGGAAGAGGTGGGAGATCTTCCCACCTGCGGGCCAGTTTTAAAGAAAAAAAAAAAAAAAAAAGAGTCTAGGTTTTTATTTCTTTTTTTGTGTGTGCGTGGAAAGATGATCCTTCACCCAGAGGTTTCCAATGTGTTAGCCAACCCTCGGTTAAAATATTCAGAATGGACAACATCTCTCTTTTTCTCCCTCTTTTTGTCCCTCCCTCTTTCTTTCTCTCTCTCTCGAGCTCATCCAACTGTTTCATGCCCAACTTGCTGAAGTTGGCACCCGGAGAACTTGGTTCAGGGCTGTGTGGGTTGTGTGACTGATTGTCCTAGCTGCACTACTTTATTTAAAGATTAAGAAAAAAAAAAAAGATAATGTTCATAAGGAGTCAATATGTAGTTTTTAAGAGACAATCAGTGTGTGTCTTATATAAATGGTACATCTGTGGTTTTTAATCTGTGCTAGACTTCAAAACTGTGATCTCCTGTATTGTATGCAACTATGAACTCTGCACCAGCGGGAGTTCTGCTGTGATTTAAATAGGTTATAATTATAAGTGAAATTCAGAGCAACTGAGTTACCTATTATCATCTTTAAAAAAAAAAGTAATTAAAAATATATATTTAAAAAATAATAAAAAAGAAAATAAAAAGAAAAAACGCAAAAAACACGATCGCCTTTCACCCGAGGTGAACTGCACTGAAACTTTTACAACAAACTGTCTCTGAATGAAAGAGGAAAGACCGAAAATATCCCACCTGAGGACATTTAACTCCTCTGGAGCTCACTTACTGCTGGCCACGCCGGCAGTAACCGGCAAATCCGACAGGACTTTGGGCAGTTGCTCTGACCTGGATGAATTCAAACCAAGAAATTCATTGTCGTTTATGCTTGCAGATGTTAACTGAAAAAAAAAAGAAAAAAAAAAGATATATATGCATAAACCTTTTTTTTTTTTTTTTTCCTGGATTTGGCAGATATGTATAATTATATTAAAATGGTTCTAGCACACTTGATGGTTGTCTTCCATTTTAATCGCAGCCGGCGAGTGACGGAGAAGGGGCACGGGAGGCCAGGAAGGGTCTGGCTGCTTCTGCAGGCTTGAGACAAAAGGGGTTCTGCTGGCAGCTCCCCGAGGTCAAGGAAGCAAAAAATCAAGGAGGGGAGTTATTTTATTCGTGAAATCTTTAATCAAAAACCTTTCATTACAAGCAGAGCTTGGCTAACGTGACCTTTCCCACCCCGGCTCCGCCAAATCTCCTCGTGGGCAGGGAGGGATGAGGTCGCTCTGTGGCTTCCCAGGGGATGGAGTCCCCAGGTGTGTGTTTGGGGAGAACTTTCCAGGCAGGAGAACCTGGATCAGGCAGGATGCTCTGAGCAGAGGTGCTGGGGAAGGAGAGGGACAAGTGTTTGAGCTGCAATGTCACACGTTTTAGTCCCAGGATGCAGGATCAGGCCTTTCCCACACATTCCTCTTCTTGGTGGTTCTTTTTCTGTCCCTCTCCCTCTTTCTCCCTCTCTCCTTTCCGTGTTGGAGCCCTGCACTCAGGCTGGATTTAGCACAGCAAAATAAATAATGGATCTCTGGAAAAGGAGAGACCTGGGATAAACCCCGGCACCATCCCACCCGCTGTCCCCCAGGTTTGTCACCAGCACCCTGTGAGCCACCAGCACCACGCCTTGGTGCCCAGGACAGCGGAGCACGAGCGATGATGACGCAGCCACGGTGCCTCTCCAGCCATCCCTGGGCTCTGCATCCCCATCCCAAACCACCCCTTCCATGGGAACCCGCAGTGCCACGAGCGTCCCCAGGGCAGGGAGCAGCCTCTGAAATAAACCATATTTGGGGAAAAGAGAGCTTTTGTGCTTTTGTGCTGCCTCACTTTAGCTGTGTCTGTGTCGGTCAGTGATTTTCTCATTTATTTTTGTGGAACAGGAGGATCCGTGCAGGGGAGGTTTGGGAAGCTCCAGCCGTGTCCCTGCCACTGGCATCTCCCAAGCAGCAGCGTGGAAAGTTTCATTTCTCCACTGATTTGCTTCAAATCAACAAAGTTCACTTCTTCTCCCCCCCTCCAAAAAATCCATTCAAGCAAAATATGCTCAAGAAAACCAAGTCCTTCCTGAACTGGGGCACAGCATCCCACCTGCCTGGAAAAGCTCTTTGTTTCCTGAGCTTCTGATTATTAATTTTTTTTAAAGCCTCTTTAAAACCTCTTTTTGCATTTAGCTTTCCCCATCTTATCTTTTACTTTTCTTTCCTGAGTATTTCCCTGTCTGTAGGGATGAGCTCCTGCAGCCAGTGCTTGTTTTTATCAGAAAAAGCATTTCTCTGGCAGGAGTTTCTCTGATTTTTCCCTGGCTTTTTGTACTTTCCACGTTTTCTCTCCCTGTTCATTTCTGAGTTTAATTTAAATGGGCACATGCGTGGGCAAAGGGCAAAATCCCAAGGTGAGCTGGCAAACACAAAATATTCTGTAAAGAGTGTTTTAACTCCTTTTTAATTTTTAATGTTTTACATCTCCTGGTAGAATTCATTTCCTCTGAACTCAGGCTGCAGTAGGCAATCCTGGATCCAATAAAATCTGGGGAGAAGCTGGGGAGACCACATTGATTTAGTGTTGGAAAGCTGGATTTAGGGGCAAAGAGCTGAATAGGAGGGTGTTTGATTTGAGGTGTCCTGCCCAGCCCCCCAAAATACACATACAGGCAAATCCTCTGCCTGCTCTGCAATGTGACATTTCCCACCAGAGGGGGAAAAACTGGAAAAGCAGAAAAACAGGGGGGAAATCCTGAGTGTAACCATCACAGAACTGTCTGGAATGCCAGTTCCAGCATCTCTGCCTGCTCCCTGCCCATCCTTGTCCCAGCCCCTCCTGCTCCTGCTCTGTCTCCTTGTTTGATTTCATTTGCCTGCCCAATATCCCCATCGCCTCCCTGCCTGCTCCCCACCAGCACCACTCACATTTCCCAGTGCTGCCCAGCATCCAGAGCATCCCTGCTCCCACCCCAGCCCCAGCCAGCCCAGGGAGCCCCAAAATGGGGACAACTTTTGGGGAGGACCCCGGGGTCGGGAGCACTGCCAATTTCCAAGGAGACAGGGGAGATTTGCTGACAAAAGGCAGATTTAGGGACAGGCAGTGGAGCTTCAGCACCTGGTGCTGGGTGGGGCGGCACAGGAACACCCCAAAATCCCACTCACACCCCTGGCACCGCCTTTGCCTGGGATTTTGGGGGTAAGGATGGTGGGTTGGGGATGGGTTTGGGTTTGGGAAGGTCAGAAAGGGAGGATTGGGATGAGGGGCTGTGCTGGGGTGATGGGATGGGATGGGATGGGATTGCTGAGTGTCAGGGAGTGGTGTGAGGGCTGGACTGGGTGTGGGGAGGTGTCAAGGATGGGAAGGAAGGAAATGGAAGGGAAGGAAAAGAAGGGAAGTGAGGAAGTAGGGTGGGAGAGGAGGTGGGGAGGAAAAGAAGGAGGGAAAGAGGGAAAGAGGGAAAGAAGGAGGAAGGGAAGGGAAGGGAAGGGAAGGGAAGGGAAGGGAAGGGAAGGGAAGGGAAGGGAAGGGAAGGGAAGGGAAGGGAAGGGAAGGGAAGGGAAGGGAAGGGAAGGAGAAATGCCATTTCCAGCTGCCTGGTCTCTCCCTGCTGCTGGGGCAGAGCAGAGGGACTGATGGTGGGGGCAGGGGGAGAAGAGGTGGTGAAGAGATAGATAAATATATAAATCCCACACAAACTGTTAAAATCTGCTCTGAGAGTCAGTTTTGACTTTTAGGCTCATGAACCATTAATAAAAATCTCCTTATAGTCAGATGGCTCTCAAAAGCTGTGATAGCGGATTACAAACTCCTAATGGAGATATTGTATGATCAAATATTCTCTAAGCACCAAGGTCTAACGTCCTGGGGGTGGCCAGGCCACCTGATTATCAGCTTATCAGCAAATACCTCTTAGTGAGGGATGTGTTGAAAAGAAAGTGCCTTTCTTGAGGTACTCCCTTCCTCATTCTTCCTTCAGACAGGTTTGGGAATGGCATCCTGTGGTCTGGGGACCATAGGATCCCCAGATTGCCATTGAGGCAATGATGTCCCCACTGTGTCATGGGGCTGGTCCCTGGTTTCTGGGTTTTCCTGTGGGAAATGCAGAGCTGGAGGTATCAGAGGGGTTTCAGGCTCTAGTGCACAGAGCAAACACTTTTCTTGGGCTCAACACTGGTGACACTCAGCCCTTGCCAGGACCAAACCACTGAATGTGATGTATAATTACCTGGTAATTAAATTTGGAGAGCTGAGGCGGAATCATTAAAGAGAGAGAGAGAGGAAAGGAGGCTCCTCCACGAGACCAGAACCCAGAGCTCTCCACAGAGCCAATTCCTGGGAAAACTGGACTGTAGATCTGCTGTTTTCTGTTTCCAAGGAGGAGTTGGCTCTCTCAGTGCTTCTCCTCACACGCTCACAGGACCCTGGTGTTTATTCCTAGGTGGATGCTGGTACTGAGACCTGCTGATGACAATGCATCATCCAACCCAGTCTGGGAGCCCTGTGCACTGGGAGGGTCTGGGATCAGGCTGGACAGGGAGGAGAGGCATGAGGCTCTTGGGGCCTCTCACTGATCAGATTAACTTCGATAAATGTTGGAAAGTCTCTTTTCCCAGCCTGGTGCTTGAAGGAGTCAGAGCTCTTCATTTCTTGGTCTCAAGGTTGTTTATTGTTCTTTATCTATAAAATATTTTTTCTTGTCTAGCTGAGGTCCATTCAGCAGGACAGCCCAAGGCACTCTGCTTGCTTCTGGGGCGGTGTTATGCCTTTATACTAAAAATTATGTATACAATGTTTACAATTACTTTCCAATACCTATGTTAGACAGTGAGCTTCTACTTGAAACCAATCTGTAAGTGCCACCATCACAGCAGAAGATGGAGGTTAAGAAGAAGGCAGAGAAAGGCTGCACACACCCAGATCTCTTTATCTTGCTTCTTGAACTTTGTATTCTAAAAACCCCAAAATCTACTTTTTCACCTTGTGATAAATTCACTGTCAT